TGTGGGCAGAAGAGAAACCAGCGGACAAGGAAGGGTGAACGGAGGATGTGTGAAATAAGGTCGCAGGGAAGGCCCCGGGCGTGCGAGAAGGGAGCCACAGGAACACAACAGCGGACCAACAGCCCAGGAGAGAGAGTGCGAGAAAAGTGTACGGAACGCCGGCCCAATGGAGCGACGTGGCAGGCGGAGGTGTGGTCCCCGTGGGGGAAGATGTGTGCAATCAACAGGGGGAAACACGGAACGGCGGTGGCACAGGGCGCCAGAAGGCACACAAAGTGAAGGGTCCGAAGAGAGTGGAAAAACACACAGCCCGTTGTGGAACAGAGATGTGTAGTTGGCGAGAGTCCGGTGTAAAAGCTGAGAGAAGCGAACAGGGAGCGGGAGAGAGAGAGAGATAGGGCACGGTGAAAAGAGCAAAGCCACGGGAAGGGCGGCACTGGAACAGAGAGGACGGCGAGTGGGCGCGAAGAGCAGGAAAGATGACAGGCAGTGTGAGACCGTGGTGGCGGGAGAAGTGAAGGCAGCGAGCCAGGCGTACGAAGGAGCAGGACCTGACACGGGAGCCTGCCACTGCATGCAGCGCAGAGGGGAAGGCACGAGTGACAAGGGCAACAGGTGCGACGGCGAGGAAGGTCCCAGCAGCGGCGCGTGTATTATTTGGTTAATTGAAGTGCTCCTGCAGTGTGGAGTCATTTGCCCTGGCCCCCGTGGGCTGGTCTCCTCTCCTCCTTCCCCCGTGTGTGGGTTCCGCTCCGGTGGCGGGCCGCTCCCCGCGGGCCTCTCAGGCGCTGCTTGCGCTTGTGGCCTTCCCGCGTGCGTGCGCCCGGGCTCACGCGCGCTGCCGTGCGGCTGCGGGTTCCTGCTCCGTGCGGCTCGCCTGCTCGCACAGGTCTACTGCCTGTATCTATTACCTGCTACACAATTAGACACGCCAATAGCCGTCATATCTGTTCAGTGCAGCACTTAGTGACTTGATATTAATTACAGTGCACTCTATATCTATCTATACAAGCTAACATGTTAGCTTATTAATACAGCTTTTAAAGGAGAAAATATAGCAAACTAAAATCCTGTTAAAAGGGAATGTGTGTTTTTAACAACAAAATCTTAAGAAACTTAAATTTTGTGTTGATTATGGCGCCCCCTGTGGACAAAAGCGTTAGTGTTTCCACTGTTCATTGATTTCAAAGGGGAATCCGACTGAGTCCTCCCCATTGGCAGGCGTTAAGAATAATTTTATAGAAATATCCAATCATCCTGCTGTTGGTCCTGTGTGTTTATGTGGCTCATATAGAGGCAACAGCATTAAACTGAGACTTTTTCATAACCAGTTAAAAACTCCTTGTACTAGGTTTATATTTGCACAATTCCCACATAGCAAAAATGGTCTGGCCCAGTGATGGCCCCCACAGCCCACTTACATTGGGCCCAAATACAGCAATGAATTATGGTCTTTCACTCTCCTCCCTTGTCAGCACTATGTGAAATAGACAAATAGTTAAATGAGAAAATTCAGCCAGTAAACACTAGGCCTGAACACTTTGCCAAAAACAAATGAACAAAATAGAGCGATGAAGCTTGTCTGATCCAACATGGGGCCAGCTATGGTCATACAGTTGGCTGACGTATGGCTATGTTATGGGCCATATGAGGCTACCGGATCGGGACCACCTCTGGACTGTAATTCATTGCTGTATTAGGGCTGAGTGTGCGGGCCAGAGTCATTTTGTTATGTGGGCTAATCTGTCAGAAACCTTGTCGTACTCTTGACTAATGCACTAACCACTGTGTGTCAATTTGAAGGTTCAGTGTGTAACATTTGGGAGGATCTATGGGCAGAAATGGAATATAACATACATAGGTATGTTTTCATTTGTGTTAAATCACCTGAAAGTAACAATTGTTGTGTTTTTGTAACCTTAGAATGAACCTTTTTTTTAATCTACAAACGCTGCAGATCCCATGAGATTGTAGTACAGGTCACAATGGCCCCTAATTTTCCAACTGCATTCACATTCAAATGCAGACTGTGATTGTGAGAAAAAAAAGAATTTCATATGAAGCTACGAGCTTTGGCACACTATAACTTTCCTACAATGTCTCTACAATGTAAAACTGGCCAGATAAAATACTGTAAGCAGCTTAGTAGCCGCTAAAGAAGAGACAGCCAAATCTACAAAATTAATTTGGCTGCTGAAGAGCATTTCTGGTGAAAAACAGCTCCTCTGAGAAAATACTCTAAAACCACTTCCTGAAGTCCTTGTGAGTACACTGCAGTTTGTTTGTTTACTATTCCCGGATTCCTTTACACACACAATAAACACACACACACACCCTTGAGACGAACCCTAGTCATGATGCAGCTGAGCTAAGCGTTTTCTTACACACATACTCTCCCTCTCTCTAATGTAATTGTGTATGTCGCCAACGTTAACAGAAAGGCAGCGTGACCTGCCAGAATATGAGACTGTAGGTAATGCGATTACTAGTGTATGAAACATAATGACAGACGATGAGAGCGTGATAAAGGCAGAGTGGAGTGGAGAGAAGGAGCAGTTAAGATAGAGGTATGGAAAGAAGGGCAGCCGCAGAGCAAAGAAAACAGGTGAACAGTAATGTAATTGCTATTAGATCAATTTGATCGTGGTCAGAGATCACTGCTTGTGATGATAAATATTGATCTCATGAAACCACTGAGGCAGAATAGGCTGCAGGAGTAGAAGGAGAGCGGTTCCAGCTGCACTGACTCAGACCGCCACTGGAAAACATTACCCTGAAGATCTGATAAACCTGCCCTACACAGACGTTAGCAGCTAGCTGGGGAACACAGAGGAGGATTTAGCAGCTGGAGGGTCAGATATTTCCCTCAGAGGTTGGTGGAGACCAAAAACAGAGCTTAAAAAAAATCATTATTCATCAGGAGACTATAAACTCTATCTGCTGGATGCGTCAACAGGCCACTGTTTTCTATGCTGACAAGTTCATATCAACTTAAAAGGTGGCCCATGGAGTTATATTTACATTCCGTGTGTGAAATTCATTGTGTGCATCCTTTAGGTCTTACAAACCTGTCAAATCAATTCCCTTCCTCATAAAACGTTTGTCAAGCTGATTTATTTAGTAGATATTTTAAACTTTGCATCATTTACATTGACATTTACTTCCCTGCCTTTGTTGTCATTGCTCAACCTTAAACATCTACAGTATAGAAATGCAACATTCACATTAATGCAGCAGTAACATTAATCCAAAAACATTATATTTAATAAAATAAAACACTGACAGGGACAATTTTTCTGCAGAATGAGTGATGATGATACCTTTGATATTTTAAGTAGCTTTTGCTGCTAATACTTAGAGACTTTTGCTTTAGTGAGGATTTGAATACAGGATTTTGATTTGTAGTGTGGTATTAGTACTTTTTCTATGTAAGTAAAGGATTTAAATACTTCTTCCACCACTGAATATTAGTAGATATTACAAACAATCATATATTACAAACAAATCATAGAAAATATTGTGTCAAGAACCCAACGGGGTACCTTTAAAAGTCACAATATGTCAGTGTTGTTGCTTGTTGTGCTGCCCCCAAGTGGCCAAGAAAATCAGTAATTGAAGGTTCAAATTTTGCCATAAAAATGATCTTCATGTTTTGCAAATATGTGTTTACCATACAGCAATCGAACATAGTTACAGTTACAAATAGGTCATAAAGAGTGAAGCAAATATGAACGTTAATGTGTTCAAAGGACGAGAAGGAGAGGTAAATGGAGTGAAAAGAGGACAAGAAATGATTGGAAGATGTGAAAATGGCAGGGGAGAGATGTCAAGTGCTTGCCTGGTCTTTGGGAAAAAATTTGACTTTCATTTGTAGCACACAGACTTTCACTTCCAGCTGAGTTCAACACATGGTTCTGCATGATTGCCCAGAAATTGAAAATGGTAAAAAACTCAAAAGCCATGAGACTGAATTCATACTATAGTTCAAAATGCAATTACAAGGCGTTTAACTGTTTGTGTTGCCCGGACAGATTGACTCTGTGGAATCATGCACAAATTAGGAAATGTTCAGTACGGTCCAAATTCTTCCAGCGCCAGAGAGAAAGGCATATGCATTCTCTGCTCCAGAGGAGAGAAACGACAGAGGAGGGAAGGAGAGAAAACACAGAATAGACTGGGAGGTCCCTGAGGAGCTCCCTCACTACTCTGCAGCTTTACACGTCTGCTGTGTGTGAGCACAAAATGAGTTACAACAGAGCGGTGGGGTGCATGTGTGTGGACAGTGTTTCTGCAGGACACGCAGGAGTAACAGACAAACACACTGCGAGAGGCTGTGATCATAAGTTACTAAAAAGCACAAAGTCAACTTCTGCTGCAAAAATACTTTATTTTTTCCTACACACAAATCGAAACACACATAAATATATTAACAGTGTGTCCTTGCCAAGCTTGAGATGTGAATTATTTCTACAGCATTTATTTTTTATTTTCCCTTCAGAAAGCTGGAGCTCAGGCTTCTTGAGGGCTGCTCTGACGCAACCAAACTCAAGGATAAACTCATCTTTCCATTGTCAGCATCTGTATGGACAGTTTATATTGCTGTTATATCCATTGTTCCATATTATTTTATAGGACACACTGAAAACACTAAGCAACAGTCACAAATCTAATGAGGTCAACAGGGGAAGAAATGAGAAAAGAAAAAACAAGCCAATTCACTCCAATGTTGAGAATTTGCCAACATCCTGACATATGATGGAACCACACTGAATACATGATTCATCTGCAACCCATTAACATGAGGAGATTTGGTCTGTCAACTTTTATTGTAGGCTACACTGGCTTCGATTCATTGTTGGACCTGAAATTCAAGCTGTAATTGCTTTCTTCTAAATTGCCACAGCACAAAATGTTCATGCACTGGAACAGCAGTAAAACGTAGCAACACAGTTTCATTTGCATTGAATTATTATGGGTGGCTTTTACTCACTTCATTTTGGGTCCACAAATTGATCTGAACTGACTGTTTACAAGGAGGGGAGGCAAATGGCTGCAAGTGACATCAAGTGCAAATAGAAATGTCATATTGTTTAACACTACAGTACAAAACTGTGGAAGTCCCTTTTAGCTGTTGTACTTCAAAGTGAAGAGACTCCACCTGAAGCAGACTGGATGATCAATAGTACACTCAGAAAGAGGCCAGTGTCGCTATTAATCAAATGGGCTAATTCTTCAGGTTCCCTCAATATTACTTCAGATGAAAAGACTTCTTAGCAGGTAACAGCTCTTAAAATATGATGTAATCATTTTCATGGTGGAGGTGGTGCTGTCGTAGCCAATCAGGCGCGTCAATCAGGAGTTCATGCTTCCTTGTAATGTCTGAAATAAGGTTGTCCAGTCCAGCTGCTCAGACATCTGTGCAGTGTGATTACAAATCTATACTGGGAAATAATTTATTTTTTCCCCTCAGCCAGCTTCAATTAGCTTAGCTTAGCATAAAGACTTAAATCAGGGGTAAACAGCTAGCCTGGCTCTTAAATAAATGTTTAAAATAAATGCCAAACAGAACTCCTAAACTTTAGTAAGTAGCACATTTTATCTCAAGTGTTTGCACACCAACAGAGATGTAAAAAACGACAAGCTGTGGTTTAACGGAGAGTTAAGTGCTGGAACTTTCTGCCCGGGTGCGGCGAGTTCCTGGAAACTTAGCAAGTCATTTTCACATTTGTTAGTGCACACATTAAAACAAATATAAACATGTGTTGATAAATTAGCTTTAAAGAGCCAGGATCCCCTGCTTTCAGTCTTCTATGCTATGCTAAGGTAATTGCCAACAGGAAGCAAAGCTCGCTTTATATTTAGTTTTAGTTTTCAGACAAGAGAGTTGTATTAATCTTCTCATCTAATTCCCCTAAATGAAACTGAAGAAGCCCATTTCCCAGAAAGTTGAGCTCCTCTTTGAAGTGCTGTAGATAAACAGAAACCTATCGACTGACTGCTAAAACTGGAGTGATGTAAAATTAGAATGACACAAATAAATGGCAGGTGTGAAGAGGCCAAACTGTGAAAACACTGGAAAGTTGTGTTAAGCAGCAGGAAGATGAGCCAATTTCAAGTTTCTGTGCACATTTGGATGTTTCTCTTCTTTTTTTTCCCTTAAAGGGTGAACTATCTTAAAAGAAACAGCACAAGTGCTTTCTTATTCACTTTTCTTATGAGTTGAAACCAGATCTGCCTGCCAATGAGTTCTTAACGAGAAACATTAGCCTGAAGAACTGAGCCTGAAAGATTAATATTGATATCGCCTTATACTGAATCAACTGCATTACATTAAAAGAAATATTCAAGGCATTCTCCCTTTTCTTGATGAAGTTTCTCATCCATCCATCTTCCCTTTGTACTCGTCTCTGTTCGTCCATCTGTTGTGTTTTATTTTCATCATCATGCCTTTGTTCTCTTCGTTTTCATCCCTGCTGTGAGGTAGAGGAGCTGCAGCCTCATTCTCATCTGCAGACTCAAAGTCTGGACAAAAAAAAAGCAAGTCAGAAGAGAAATAAACAAGCAAGTAAATGAATAAATATGCGAGTGGAAAATATCAAAAATGAACTTACATGAGGCAGACTGGCCATTTTTCTCATCATCACACTGTGGTCAGGTTCACTATAGATGTTCTCATCCTGCCCAGGGTCGCCTGCTAACATGTACAACTCTCCAGCGTGGACATCGGATACATTCACCTAGACGGAGAGACAGATTGATGATAGACATATAATCTGTTACTGTCATGGAAAATGTCTCCAACATATTGTGGCAGACAAGACGGATGGAACACACCACACACACGACACACACACACACACACACACACACACACACACACACCACACAACAACACAAACCACAGTTGAACATTGAATACAGCATTCACACAGAGCAGAATAATGGAACGAGACAGATAAGAGACGATTTCCATGCTGTGCAGGTATTTGATACACCAACCTGAAATGTTTGAGGGTTGAATCCCAGCCAGAGAGTGTATCTATAGTCCCAGGAGCGCAGAGAGTAGCCCATGACCTTTATATCTTTAAGGTCAGGGAGGTCAGAGTTCACCTAAAAAGAAGAACTTAAACCATTAAAGCAAAAACCGTCAGATCTACAGCTGCCAACTCATCCTGCGAGATGAGTCGACGAGCTAATGTCAGGCTGCCAAACTGTTCCATACAAAGATTAACCTGCAGCAGGTGCAGCACTCATCTGGATATGTTAATTCAAAAGATCTTGTGCTTGTGGCTGGCGGCTCTGGCTATGGGCAAGCACAGTAATGCAGAGGGGTCAAAAAGCAACAGCGCAAATGCGGTCGACAACCTTCACTAATTTTGACATTTTAGATCCAGCTTCAAAATCCATTAAATGTAACCACATAATACAAAGTGATTTAGCATTTTAGAAAGCTTGTTAATTGGGCTTCTCTTAACAACTCCGTCTATAATACCTGTGGCGTATCCGCAGGTCGAGGGTACTGGCTGAAAGATATGGCTTCCTCATCCTCTCCTTGTTCTCTGTGTTGGAAGGTGTAGGCCAGGTTGTGTCCTTCTGTACACAACTTCTCCTGAAAGCATGAAAACAGACCCGAAGAGTAAAGGAAATAAATGTCAGAGTCAATTAGATCACATTCGTGTCAGGCATGTTTGGGCCTGTTTATGGAGTGTTTCCTTCTTGATTCATTTTGTTTGGCAATGTCAGAACAATAACACTTGCACTAACTGTACAAAGATGCCTTAAAGGTCCAGTGTGTAACATTTAGGAGGATCTATTGGCAGAAATTGAATATAATACTCATGGGTATGTTTTTATTAGCTTATAATCACCAATTGTTGTGTTTTTGTTATCTTAGAATGAGGTAATTGTCTACAGACCCTGCATGTCCCATGAGATTGTAGTTGACAATGTTCCAACTGTATTTGCATTTCATTTTTTATATTCACACGAGGATGAGACGAGTGTGTTACAATCCGCAACTACACCACTAGACGCCACTAAATCCTACACACTGGACCTTTAAAAGTTCTCAATTCTATCAATGACAGATGAAGCTCAGTGAGAAAGATACTGAATTACATTTTGAATTCTTTTTTCTTAACTTTTCTAAACCGAGAGTCCGTGCTAGCTGATCTTTGAGGCTAAATGCTAACATCAGCATGCTAACATGCTCACAAAGACAGTGTTTATGTGCTGATATTAACAGATTCACGCAATTTTCCAAGACCATTACCTCCACTACTAAACCCAAATGGCTACCTGATACTTAAACTAGCTTTTTGTGTCCCATACTTGCAGAGGTGGCAAAGGTACACACATTGTTGACTCAAGTAGAGTACAGATAGACTCCAGTAAAAGTAGAAGTACTCAGTTCTTTACTTTCTCCTTTACCAAGTAAGATTTTGATTAAAATTTCATCCATTCATTCATACCTGGAAAGAAACATCAGGACAGGGTTCAGGTGCTCCGAGGCCAGCCATGTACGAGACGGTAGGAAAAACATCCACCAGCTCCACCACATTTCTTCCTACTTTGGCATCTGGAAGAGAGAGGGGTCAGCCAATTAGAGAAAGGCTCACATTTCGCTGACAGCAAAATAGTCGAAATATCCTCTAAAATTTACAAGTTGCCCTTCTCTTAAATTTCATCACCATTGCACCATTTGCACTTGGAAGTAAAAACTGTCCGAGGCGAAATATCAAAGTGTATCCGTGTCTTGATACTTTTGGGAGCTCTCCATGTATATCAAAAGACTTCATTAAAGTCAAGATGGCATAATAATAAATGTTTCAACAAGGTTCATATGAGCAATAAGTACCAAAGATTTTAAAATCAAACTGGAATTCCCTTTTGTGACTTGACGCCCACGGTGCCATAAACCATAAAAGCAGGTTTCGTGTTAATCGGCAGTAATTTGTCATCAGTGAAGGGGTCTTACTCTTAAAGCTGAGCTCCGATTGTGTGAGGACATCAACAAAGGAAAAGGTAAACTCTCCCAGCCACTCATTGAATCTGTTGACGCCAGGAACGTAGAAGATTAGAGGGACGCGTGTTGTCACATCAAAATTAGAGTATTTAGCCCATTCGCCGTGTTCTCCTAACGACCAACCTGCAATGAGAAGGAGAGAATGAATGATGGTAGTTCAAAAAGATTTGAGGCAGACGGGAGAAATAAAGAGAACTGAAACTATGAATCTGTATCATACAAATAACATTTCAGATACAGGAAGGTTTCAGGCAATCCCTTTCACTGATGTTTTTCCCAGTCAAATCGTATTTGAAAATTATGGCCTTTGATTGAGCTTTAGTGGGTATATATCAAACAGTCATGGTAAGGATTCACTCCAGCATCCTCCACTGAAGGAGACATTAAAAGAAATTGAGTTTCCAAGTCACAAAGTTTAAAAAAAAAAAAAAAAAACAAGAACGAGGCGTTGAAAAAAAAAAAGATCTGGGTTTTTTTAAGTACAGCGATTGTGGGGAAGAGGTAAAGGCATAATGTGCTGTTACAACACTGCCATTGGTGGTGAAAGACCAGCAAAACTGGCACTCTACAAAACACTCACTTCCTAAAAATAATTTTATTATAAAGCACTTTTCAAGCTTAAGGACAAAGTGCTCCACAGATTAAAAGATAAAAATAAAATTAGAAACCCATGTGAGTCACCCCTGTAAACAAACAAAATATTAAATTTTGATAAAACATGAGCACATAATCAGGCAGCACTGAGCCCAGATGGAAGTGCAAAATAATAGAAATAAGTTGAAATTAAAATAAAACAGAGGGCAGGTATATAACGATTTCATGTAGAACAAACACAATGGCAATAAAATAACAAATTATTGAATTTTAAAACAGATAAAACTGCAAAATATGTGAATATAAAAATAATAGTAATGATACTAAAACAAGCACAATTAAAATACAGTATTCAATGACATAAAACACCATAAAATAATGGAAAGGTAAAACATTAAGTGTTTGCCATTTTGTAAAAGGTAACTGATTCATTTCATTAAATATGTTATCATATGTTTTATTAACTAGAAATCAAACACTGAGATAATCAATCATTCCCAATTCATCCCAAACATGTGTCCACTAACCATGATCTGAGGTGAACACCACCATAGTGCTGTCAGCCAGCCCCAGCTCATCCAGAGCACTGAGCAAGCGACCAACTTGAGCGTCCATATAAGAGACGGCAGCGTAATAGTGCTGACGGATACGCAGCTGGAAGACACAGAACAAGGTCAGTGTGTATTTCAGGAGTGGCAACATGGGAACCAAGTTAGAAATGGGTGTTGATGAGTAACCAGAATACCTGGAAGTCTTTAGGAATTGGTCCATATGGGAAGCTGACGTTGAGTTTTTGGACGTCGTCTCTCTTCCTCACGTCCATCCAGGGGTTGTAGGCCACAGGTGGAAGGAGTTTAGGGACATTGGGGTCAGGAGCCAGAGTCATTTGGTCTATGGGATACAGGCTCAGGTACTCCTGTAATACACAACAGGTTTCAAAGTTATGTTTAATAAAACCACGCTGCAAATGACATTCTAATGTGCTAATTGTATTCATTTATAAAGTTTTCCTGGTGGACACAAGACGTCTCCTACTTCACTGCGAAGTCCATTCTCATTGTCTGTGCACTGGAGGCTTCATGTTTCTACATCACACTGTATAAGTTGGGACCAAGATTAATTTCTTTACTTCTCTTTAACTCTGGAACAACCTGCCACCCACAAAGGTCACCCAGTCACATCTTTAAAAAGCATCTAAAGCCCATGTTTTCTTTGGTTTTCTCTTCATTTTACAACTTTTGATGGTTGCACACTTAATTCTCCTTCTTTTATATATTGTCTGTTCCTTTCACTGTATAGTGCTGTATAAATAAAGTTTGCTTATTTGCATTTTCCTATCCTGATTTAAGCACAATAAATAAAATTATTATCGAAATCACAATATAGCAAAGTGCAATATTCTAATGGCAGAAACTGTATTTTTTAATTAGGTAATAGTAAAATGTGACAAAACAGCATTATAATGAAATACTGTGGTGCTGCAGAGGTGCCCGGGCCGACTAATCTTGTTCTCCAGAATTAAGAAAACACATCATGATTTTAAAAGTTTTTTCAGTGAAAATTTAATTTGTGATTCCCACACTAATTGCGAATGATATTGCAAAATCTGCCAAAATAATCACTGTATGATGTTTTTACCACATCGTGGAGCCCTAATTCAAAGCCATTACATTAAAATCCCGACAGTATTTGTGTTTCAACGCAAGAAATCAGCATTTAAAGTATAATTATTTAAGGTATTACTTTAAAACTAAAGATAACGGTTTGGAAGAAACTTTGGTGAAGGAGGAATTCTGTTATGTTCTGGTATTTAGAGATGATGGTATATGAATTATAAAATAGTACTACCCTGATTACCCGATACCCCATTTGTACTGTAAAATCGCCAACATTAGCTCATTGTTATTAGCATAATAGCCTACTACGACCCCACTATCACCCATTCTCATCAAAATACGATACCACCTCATTACTCAATAGGAATGCAACGATATATTATGAGAGAGGTAAATCGCGATACAAATCCGAAGACTCAAATCAGTGAGAAGAAAAATGAATTGTTACTCTTTTAAAACTGAAGAGGGCACTAGATTCTTTTGACTTTCGACGTCCCACTCGCGTCTGTCGCTGTAACAGGGTGCAAAGAGATCAGTTTCCCTTTTACAAAGAAAACTAAGTATGCTTTGTTTTCCACAGTTTATACTCTCTCAGAAATTCTATAACTGACTGAAGAAAAGAGAAAATACATTTTGTAGATTTTTGTCTGAGAAATACATTTGTTTTGTTTAAAAAGGGGAAAATCCTATCACGACCCCAGTATCATAAATTCTATTGTGACTTTAGTGTATCGTTACATCCATATTACTCCAGTATTACTTGAATTGCAAAAATATTCTTATCATTAATACTAAGATATTAACTGGTGCCCTTTATTTACCAATATGCAACATAAATCAGTACTAACTCTGGGCTCTTTTTTGAGCTTAATTACAATTTACAGTATACAGGATTCCCGTCTTTGCTTAGGACCAATAAGATGCAGGAAGTTAAAGACTTTTCAAAGGACCTAAACTCCTCTGACACTCGAGCATTGCAGATTTTCTCAGACGTCTTTAGCTTCATTGACTTTCATCATTCCTGAAACTGCATTTTTCTGCTTGAGTTTTTAATCTGGCTGAGTCCACTGTGCGCCTCCAGACGATATAGGGCGTACACATCACATGTCGACGGAGAGAGTTGGCTTGACCTTTTCCCTCTTTTCATCTCCCAACTTACACTTTGTGGGAAGCCTCTCTGGCACGCTGACATTCATCTCTGCTCCGTCTGTCTCCGCTCTCATTCAACTTCCACTTCATCATGCTCGCTTCCTCCTTCATGCTGAATTGCATCTGCCATATATCTAGATCAGTCCTCATTAAATTCATTTCACATACAGTATGTATCTCTCAAGTCTGGCTTTCAGAGGTTCCTTTTCTTTATTTTATTCCCAGTTTTTACACACAGCCCTACATCAAAACTTACTCCTGAGCGGGGTGTAAGTTTTCCTCATAAGAACGTATTTTTAAACCCTCAGTGTTATCATTATCTACTGGCTGAGGGGGTATTGAATTCTGCGGGAACTTAATATTTCTTCCCTTTATCACCCAGGCTTAACACAATGTTCTTTATGCCACTTGTTCCTCGCTCCTTCTCCTTATGTTCTGCTCCCCACTCGCTCTCCTCTCCATGTTACCATCATTCATTCTCATTCTCTGGCATTATTTGATCAGTCCTCGCTCTCCTTAAAAACCATGGTTATTGTTTTAGTTAACACCATCAAGCAAAACTGCCTCTTGCAGCAGGACAAGGACTTCTGCTTCTCCACTCCACATACTCAGCTATACTCGTGCCAGTGAGTGACTCGCCTGTTTAGGACTAAATGAATTGTGTAATGCATCCCTGAGAGTCTCCATGAATGAGCATTACAGAAATTCAACCAGAGGAATAGTCAATGAGAGTTATCGTGTTTGCAGACTTGTGGTGTTCAGTCCATCGGTTTGCAATAAGAGCTGGACTGATAAGTCAGCAGATATTAGCTAAATGCAGGTATCACAGTACACATGTTGGTCAGTGAGTAAAAAGAAACTTTAGTACAGGAATGGCAAGAATATTTTAACTTTACAGTTATTTAACGGACTAAAAGTTAGACCAGCGAGAGAAAGACTATTCTGTTCAAAGGTTTTACGCTTCACTGTTAATCTAGAAATGTACAGTAAAGATAATTATGCAATAACTTAACAAATACAGATCTGCAGTCTGTATTCATCAGGGGGATGTTGACACTAAAAAAGGGTGGGAAGTACTGGTTTAGTCACTTTCTCAATCGGTGGGTTGCGAACCTTCTGAATAGGTCTCAGAGTGTGTGGTAAAATTAAAAGATTTTTAATGCTTAGCTATCTGATGTCTGACTTATTTTGACAGAAAAGCTTCCACAAAGTCTGTTTAAGTGAGTGTAAACAGCCCATTTTGTAGTCTTTATTTTGTGTGTAAACACAGTTATGATGTTATTAGAGTCTTGTGCTCTGATTAAGAGATAATAAAGAGGACATTGTATATGTGTGTTTACTAGCCATATAACTGCTCCATGTGTGTAATGCCAGTCATGGCAGTGTGTGCTGATGTGTGTAGAAGTATGCAAGGAATTCAGATCCAACAGCAAGCTCCCTGAATGCAGGGCTGAAGATATGTGTATATTTTATGTCAAAAAGAGGTCAAGGTGACATTGAATGTGTTTACGAGCCTATTTAAATAATACATTCGCTCTGTTTGAATTCTATAAAGGGTGTCTCAAGGTGAGATCAACTGATAAACTGGTTTAGGTCATTTAGAAAAAGTGTGTCAGTTACAGTTTGTTCACCCGACAATGAAAGGTTTCTTTTGTAACTCTAAAATGGCTGTCTAGATACACATGGAAATTAGAATGAGCGAAAATGTTTAAGTAGCTTATGTGTTATTTATATTTTTAAAAGAATATCAGCCAATTTCTGTAAGTTAAATACCAATACTCAAACATCCAGTAGCTGTCTGGATATTGTCTGAACTCATCAGGAAAGATTCACGAGGGCTCTTCACAGCATTACCGAGTCATGTAGCTCACATTAGATGTGCGTGAGCACCGATTCTAGTCAACAGCTCATTCACAGTAATCAATGAAAGTGCACCCGGTCAGTGTCAGAGACAAAATATGGTAATACATTTCTTTTAAGATGACAGCGTAGAATATGAGCCATAAGGCACTTAAAAGACTGAACGGATTATCTCTTCAAGTGCACTGAAGTGGGCTGTTGTAGATATCTGTGTACACATCTACAGCATGTGATCATCTGACAGGAACATGATTTGCCATGCATTGCTCTTTTATACTGCACTACAAAGAGCTGTGTAAAGGAACAAATGATATGATTGACTACTAAGGTTAAACACTGTGGCTGATACAGAGACCAAGTATTTTCCCAGCTGATTCAAAAACAATATTGCATGCTATAATTACATCAAGGTTTTTACAGCCACTAAACAGAATTAAAATGAACGTTCACACATCAACAACAACTGGGCCATCTGAGGAGGATTTATATCTCAGAATCTGCTTTAATGACAAAAAGATCAGAAGGCTTCCTGCCAAAATACGAACTTTTGCTTGATTAAAAATGATAAACTCAATATCTGCTTACTTAGCCATTTACGACTGTAGCTATAAAGTAAGTGAACCACAAGTTTAGAAGTTTTAAACTACACAATATGAACTCATTAAAACATCAAATCACTGAATAATATGATCCAAAAAATCCTTCACTATCACATTAGTACACACCAAACATTAAATAAATCTGTTAAAATCAACTCTTAAAGAGCCGCACTGCTCAGTACTCTTAAATGTAAAAATTTATGCATATTCAAGTCATGTCCTTTGTTCCAACGTGTGGTTATTTGGTAGCAGTCACTATGACACTTGCTGTTAAACACAAAACCTCCTGAGCGTAAAACCTGCATTAACTCAGACGGGGCTGAAATCTAAGACAAGCAACTGTCTATTTAGCTATTATCTAACCATTTTGCACGTTACATCTCAAGCGCTGTTTACAGAGTGTTTACAGGTGTTGATATCAAGTCATGTACCTGTGGTATCCTGAAGGGTATGTGTGGTTTGTGAAAGCCCACAGCCAAGAAGAAAGGAACGTCGTCGCTGGCTCGAGTCTTCAGTAACCTCACTGCCTCGTCTGTGCTCTCCATGTCGGGGAGGGTTCCCCCGGGCTGTTCGGTCACATTCACTGCACACAGTAAGTTGGCATGAAGTTTACCATCTTCTCCTTTGCACATCTGGAAACCAAAAAAAAAAGGTTTAAAAGTCACGTTTACACACAATACCTGCTGAGAACAACATTTCAGGTCGGTCTGGTAAACTGGTGCCACACGGAAGTTCACATTCAGTTCAGCCAGCTGTTTCTATTCAGACCTGGAAGATTTGTTGATCTGTCCCATTTTCTTTATTATAAAATGTTTAAACTCTGCTAAATAAAAATGCAAATAATATGATTCATTATCATCATTCCGAATATAGAAGTCTTTCTTAAAGCGGGTCTGTGTTTAATCTGTAATCTGGATTTATTTACTTCTACAGGTCCGCAGCTAACAGGGGTTATACTGAAATCACTTTACACTCAAGTGTAACGTGCACCCAAAGTAGCACTGTGGAAAGGTTCGGCATCATTATGTTCTCCATTGGAAAATAATGACTTAAGCATGATGGTAGTGCTTTTATTCATACAAACAAGTAACATAATCTAAAAGCCAAAAAAATATTGTTCTGCATCCTAAAATATCTACCAGCTGTGCTAACAAAGCTAATTGAGATACCAGTGTTGTGTGTTTAAACAAAGAATCTTTTTAGAACATGCTTTCTTTCAATGTTACATGTGAAAGCAGTTAATGTGTTCATAAAGCCCACAACAAAACAAACACTATTAAACTGCTACATATGTCAGCGGAGGTGAAGAGGAATTATAAAAACACGCAAGTTACTTACAATTCCAACAACATCCACAACAACAACAACTTCATACCTTTTCTTTCTCAAATCTAAATGAAGCTGGGTGGTAGGCGGGGATGGACCAGCTGTAGGGGTAGTCATCAGTGTGGTTAGAGGCAATACCTAAAGAAAACACAATAGAAACCATTGTTTCTATTCCACAATCTGCTAGGCAGAAAAGACATGTGGTAAGAAATTCATGCAGATTGGGTTCTTCTCTAAAATACAGCTCAACATAAACTAGCAGTAAATCTCTGGTTCTTACAGCAGTTTCAAAAGTAACCATTCAGCAGGAATCTCTGTTTCACTTCCTAAATTTGCAGCTGTGTTAAAACACCCTGCTCGTGATATTAAGAGTGTATATTGTTGTTTAGTCCACCTCCAGTCAAAAATCTGTTTTTATTTGTGGTCCTACAGTTAAATGTTGAAGCTTCATTGTGGAGAATGATAGCAAAGTGGAAAGTTTCTGGAAATTAACAATATCTGCATATACGTAGATTCTGTTTTTTGTTCAATGAGGTAGCAGTAGATGCTTTTTTAAGGATTTTATACAGAAATTACACTTTTTTTTTTATGGAGGGGATCTTTAATCTCACCTGGATGAAACACCTTGCCCACAGACATGGTGTAGTACCCTCTGGATTTAAAGTACTGTGGCATGGTCGTGTAGTTCCCAGAATGGACTCTCCAGTAGGAATTGAAGTCGTAGAGCCTGGTGGTGTCTGGTCTGCGACTCGTCAACATAGATGTGCGACTGGGAGCACACACAGCTTGCTGAAAGAGGAAAACACACCTTCAGACATTTAGATTGAGGTTATATGATCCAAATAGTCTTGTATTCAAATTGACTGAACAATTTGAGACAATAAACATGGACAAAAACAACTCACCTGTGCATACGCATCAAGAAAAACTTGGCTTTTGGATGCCAGTTGATCAATGTTTGGTGATTTGACCACAGGGTCCCCGTAGCAACCCAGTGATGTCCGCAAATCATCTGCCATGATGAAAAGGACATTTCTCTTTCTCTCTGAAAAGCAAACACAACCACAGTTAATTTGATGTAATGTACCAGTAATAAGTTCAGACAGATTGCTGCAAAGGAAAGCTTTAAAGGCAGGTGAGGGTAAAATGATCACAGTCAACTAAAACTAAATCTAGGTTAACACAAATACAGCAACACATAGAAAGTTGAACAGAAACCAGATCAGGTTTCCCTTCAGCACTCAAACCTACAAGAAAACCTAAAAACAAAGCAGCATTCAGTGAGCAAATTACATAAATAACGACAGCTTACTCTAGCTACAAACACTACATAAACACAATCAGTACCTATTAACAGCGACTGTTAGATAGTTACTGAGATTGACTGCCCGACACAAACCCATTCAAATACAACTTCAACTCAAAAACACTGTTTTCTAGCTATTTAAACACAAACTCTACCTTCTCTTGGCACAACAGCAAGTGCCAGAGAGTGAAGAACCAGGAGAAGACATATCCGGACAAACATGTACATTTTGTCTTTAGCAGAGATGATAAACGACAATATATCCTTCAGTTTAAGTCGAGTCAAACACTTAATATCTCATCTTTTCTTCCCTTTCATTCGTCTTTCCTCCTCATCAAAACAAACGAGCGTGTCGCCTTTAAATAACTTCCTGATTATTGCGTAGAGAGAATGGAAGGTTTTCATTGGTCCACTCGGCCCCTCGCCCCGCCCCCAAGCGTTAATCACATTAGTTAAATGATGTGTCAATCACTTTAATGCCACTACAGACTTGAACTACTGCAGTGATTGTTTCTGATCGATGATGGGACTCATGCAGTCATTTTCCAATCCAAAGAGAGAGAGAGAGTTTTTACACACATATATTTATATTTATATCATTTCCTACATCCACATTATTAATATTAGACCTGTATTATATATTCATAGCCCTGTATATAACTTATTTTGTCCACTAATCTATACTGCTGTATATATCATGTTTGTCCTGTGCAGTTATTTATTTTATACCATGCCACTACCTTCTGCTGTAATCTGTAGTATGCCATATTAATCTCATCTGTATAAAAAGCTGTATATATACACAACTCTTATTCTCTTATTCTATTTTCATTATATCTTGTATTTTTATATTTTTATTTAATGTGTATTTTCGTATCTGTTGTGTTGACTGAATTCCCCCAGTGTGGGATCAATAAAGTCTATCAATCAATCTCAAATCATTAAATGGACACTGATATTAACTATATTCAGAATATTGTAGAGAGGGGAAAAGAGGAAATAAACTGCATATATATGTATTTATGTGCAATATCTCTGCAGCTTAATTTGTACAAAACTTTAAATCAATGACAGACAAATCCCATAGTCATACAAAACCACCTCACACTATTATTGCAGAGCTTTGAATTTATTTCTGCACCTGCTGCTAGTACACCTGTAAATGAGTTATAGTCATTGACAGTATATAGAAATACAGACTGTGTAGCTTTTGCTGAAAGATAAACGGAGGCTGTTTGGTTTATTCTGTCTAACTTTACTCTGCTGTAGCCTAGAGATTGTACAAGTTTTGCAATTGTAAACAAAATAAATCCCCAGGGAAACTAATTTGAAACTACTTTAGGGAGAAATCTGCATGGTTTGATTAACTAAAACTACATAGAGAAAATATGAATATGCATGTGATATAAAGTTATAAGAAATATAATAATACAATAATAACAGGTCACATGCGAGCCAAAAAGGACATTCAGCTGAGTATATTGCAAAACAAGCACCCACTTGTTCACAGGTCAAACATAAACCAAGAAATAAAAAACTCACTATTCATCGGAAAATGCACGAATGTGAGTTTTAGTTTTATATACATTGTCAGACACCTGCCTCCCAGGAACTATACAGTCCCAATGGGGTACTGCACCAAGCAGGATTCACAGTGTTTTCCTTTTTATAAGGCCCAAAATTGTTTTAGTTATGCAGTAGTTAACTACACAGAAAATGAAGGGGAAAAAGTAATTTAACTACTTGAATCACTCTGCAAATATGAATTTAGTTGGTCCGTGTAGAGTAAACGATAAGTATTTAAATCTTATTAATAATTTGCTGCCTCAAAATATTTTTGCGCACACCAAATTTTTTAAATTTGCATATTGCATATAAGTGGTAAAATACATTTAATTTATAGTCTTAATTTTTCTACTTATATTTTGTGATATCTTATTCGTACTTCCACTTCTTGTACCTCTGCACTACCATTCCCCTTATGCTCAGCTGGTGTCTAAATTTGAATTTCTCCTACGGGATCAATACAGGTACATAATTATCTTATCTTTATCTTCATCGATATCATCGGACAATCCTCCCTACCCCTCACACAACACTTGGACAAGCTAAAGCGCAGCTTCAGCAACAGACCTCAAACTCCATCTGCCTCTTGTCCAGATCCACAATTACAGAACTGGACTAAATCTACCTGTGGAACATACACCTTCAATATAATATGTGTATGATATTGTACTAGAAAGGCGCATACAAGTACAGGTCATTTTACCGATGTGATATGTGTTTGAATGTAAACCTACTGATATTATATATGCATATTTGATATAATATATTAGTTATTATTATATTATTATTATATTCATTATTACTATTGATTATTATTATATATAACAATTATGAATATATATATATTGATATATATATAAGCCAGATATTATCTAGTTGCTATGTATATCTTCTTTGTATAGTCCAAGTATTTTACATATTATGACATACTGCCTATACTATATCATAATCCTCCTGTATATATATGTGATAGTATACAGGAGATATGATATATATGTGTGTGTACATATTATATACTATATGTGTACTTTATATTACATTATGTTATGCTGCACAACTTGTGCACAGGCTGAAACACTATGAACAACATGTTTTTGGCATTATATCAATATTAAGTGTTTAATATCAATATCTGTGTATACATTGTACAATCTGTTTTCAGCATCATATTATATATACATTGTTATTAATATTATCATTTTTTATACTGTTATTAACAACATTTTATTGTATTTAAATGTACCCTGGATACTATGAACGACCCAAATTTATTCGGAGAAATTATAAAGTCTTCTTGCCTATCTGTCTTCTATCTATTATCTATCTATCTATTACTCTATCTATCTAATCTATCTATCTATTCCTCCTCGTTATAATAACAGAAAAATGTAAAATGATACTCTTCCAGAAGAAGCCTATCTATGTCTTTCCTATTGACAAAATAAGATTATTGTGCAAGTTATTTTAAATATATATATTTTAAAGTGTTTTCCTCAGACAGTTTACTACAAGTCCAATAAGAGGGAGGGTCGTTGAGGCTGCAGGTCTGCTGAGTGGATTTTGAGGTTCTGAGTCGAGTTCTCATTTTAACCACAGACGATCTTTGACCGTAAAGGCAGCAACAAGAAGACATGGCGGACACAACAACCAAACGCGAAGCCGACAGTGTTGGTTCGGATGAAGTGTCTCAGAAAGCCAAGAGGGCGAAGTCAGACAGTGAAAACGGCCGCGGAGAGGTCGGAAAGGAGCCTGAAAACATTCTGTGCGGCTTCAAAACGTCCGACGTCCTGAGTGATTCTGCGCGGGAGAAAACCATCTTCATCCGCGGGAAGGTAACGGTTGTTGTGGCTAACGAGTTAACTTCACTCCGCTGTTGGACGGTGTTTAACTACCTGAAGCTGCGCTGGTGGAGTTAGGAGCCATTATCTGCAAAGGGAAAGTCTCTTTTTATTGTTTTATTCATTCAAAGTGGTGCGAGTAGTTGTCGGGAGGAAATGTGTAATATTTACTTCCGGTTTGATATTTCAAAATAAGAGTCGGCGTGATAGTGCTTTGTTGTAAAAAATGTGTTGGATGGAAATGAGTGGTAAAAAGGACTGTTGTGTGTTTATTGTTTGTTTTTTTGTTAATGATTATCACATGCAGACGACGGAGTCCGTGAGGTTTTAAAAAGTGTAAAATCCCATCTTTGAATTTTAGCCCTTAAAATGTCTTAAATATGGTTTTAACAGGTGTTGGATTAATTTAGTTGACATATAAAGCTGCATATTTCAGTCTCACTAAATATGTTTTTGGTTAAAATAAGTAAATATAATGGATTGCATAAGCTGTAACAACTACAAAACAGTATCTACAAGAAACCGGTCTTAAATTGTATTCATAATGTTCTTAATTTAACCTGTTGAAACCCGCTGAAACCCTGACGAAACTCTTGAACGTGTCCCCACCAGCTCGCCGATCAGGAGGCTGTGGTCATCCTGGAGAAGACTCCCATCAGAGAGGACACCCTGGCTGAGCTTTTCAGCGGCTCCACGCTGAAGCTGGAGATGAGGAACGACATCTACAGCACATATCGGTTACAGGCGCCCCCCCATCTCAATGGTACTGTCAGGAAAAAGCTAAATCCAGCAGCCACTTTGGCCAGCTAAAGAGCAGTGTGTTTGTGTTCTGCAGAGATCAAGACCACAGTGGTGTGTCCAGCTACAGAGAAGCATGTAAAGAAATACCAGCGTCAGGAGAGTTTCCTGGTGGAGGAGACGGAGGAGGACTATCAGTCCATCACTCGGCCCTACGTTGAGAAGCAGAGTTTCAGCGTGAAGGTCAGCCTTAATTTGCTCGTCTGCATTATAATGTGTACTTGTGAATGTACGACATTATCTGTGGATGAACTTAACATCACTTTGAACCCCCCCTCCCCCTCCCAGTGGGTACACAACATCCTGGAGAAGAAGGCAGAGGCCGACAGGATCGTTTATGAAGATCCAGACCCCAAGGTTGGCTTTGTCCTCCTCCCAGATTTCAAATGGGACCAGAAACAGGTGAGAGAAGCAGAAACCAGATCAAGACTGGAAACACATAAAATATATGTTAGTGTTGTGACTGATACTCTCAGGACTAGAACCCTTTCTCCTGGTACAAGAAAGAACTTCATATCAAACTCAACCGAATCTTTTAATAGGCTTAATATGTAAGAAGATGAGATGATTTTCTGTAAATACAAATAAATTCTACTCTATTTGAACTGTTATTTATAGGCTGTGGTTGAATTAATGTTAGAGGAAAACAGCCAAGCACGGCACGAAAGCACGCAAACAGTGTCCAATATACACTTGATCATTAAACAAGGAGGAATATAACTGGGGTTAAATGTGTCAATACAAGGCCTACAGTGTCCTTGAAAAGGTCCTGGAAAATGATTTCTTAAAAAAGACTATCCCTATCAGATAGAACAGGGTTAGTGTGAGCCATACTTTAAGATCCTTAGGCCATTGGACTTACAGTTTCACAATATCTGTCTTCTTCTTTCAGGTTGACGATTTATACCTGATCGCCATCGCACATCTGCGAGACATCAGGAGTCTCCGAGACCTGACGTCAGAGCATCTGCCGCTGCTGCAGAACATCTTCCAGAAAGGGAAGGTGAGGTTACAAAATACATTCTGTCATTAACGTAACTTTCAGTGTTGTAATCGTCGTCTTCAGTCAATTCAATAACCATGCCTGCTTCCTTATGATTCAGGAGGCCATCCTGCAGCGCTACGACCTTCCAGCCAGTAAACTGAGAGTCTACCTGCACTACCAGCCGTCCTACTACCACCTCCACGTCCACTTCACCAAGCTGGGCTACGAGGCGCCGGGCTGCGGCGTGGAGCGGGCCCACCTCCTCGCAGACGTCATCCAAAACCTCCAGTCTGATCCCGAATACTACAAAACCCGGACGCTGTACTTCCCCCTGAGGGCAGACGACGGGCTGCTCGGCAAGTTCAAGGAGGCAGGGAGGCTGTAAATCACCCCCCCCTCGGTAGATTCCCGTCCGAACTGTGTCCGACTGATTTCAATTATCTGTTTTGTGTTATTTTTTTATCGGTTTGGTTGAGAAATGGTTGTTTCTGTGTCAGCTAGCCTATTAGTTAGGTTTACACATTAGATACGAATGTTTTCTCCCAGTGTCATTTTCCCTCAACTCAAGTTTATAATGTCGCATAAAAATAGTAATTATCTAATTATTGGAGTGTTTTACACTTCAACTGATTAATAATCATGTTTTATACGTATTTGGATACATTTTTATAATCACATTTCATATTATTCCTGCTTTCATTTTAAGAAAAGGAGAGAATATAACCAATGGAAAAATTAATGTTTTAATGTTTTTCATACGTTTTCTGTTTCTGAATGTTGCTGATTGAATTAAATGGTCGTTTTTTTTACTCAGCCTGTTAATGTTGTCACTTGTTATGAATGTGAGACAGTTAAGTCTTGAGTAGACACTTACTTTACTTTTAACCTGATACAACAGATTTTAATCACATCTCATGGTTGTGAAAGTAAAAGTAATGGATATGTGACTTAAGGGTCCAGTGTGTAACATTAAGGAGGATCTATTGGCAGAGTATAATATTCATAGGTATGTTTTCTTTAGTGTATAATCACCTGAATATAGGAATCATTGTTTCATTCCCAGATCATCAAATACAGATGCAAAGGGTGTTCAGTTTAAATATGTATATACTTTATTTAATCAGGAAGTCACATTGAGATCTGAGTACAATACATTACAATAATTTATATATATATATTAATACACATTCATAGAAACAACAGTGTGACAAATTCTAAATAAATACATTAAAAATATCCTTGAAACAATAAAATAAATACAAGCTTATTATATAAAATCAATAAAACCTCAAATCAATATCGGTGTGTAGCTTTATTGTGCAATATCTGAAGGCTGTCTTTCCAAGATCATTAATCCCTGCAGGGACATATCGATCACAGGAGTGACGATAAATAAGGTGGTCATTTTAGAAGTAGCCCTTTAAAGGCGATAAAAGTTCTGATCTCATCGGACAGAGAGGGAGGGCTAGTCCACCTTCTGATTCAATGACAGGTGACATATTGGTTGTAAATCATAAATAAAGAGCTGAGTGATACACAACATCTACATGTTTAAGATTAGAGGAAGTCTTTAAATAACATCACCATAATCCAGTGCAAAGAGAAAGGACCTGTTCCTATTCAAAAAGCTCCGCTGCAGCCTTAATTTGTGATTTAAATTGGTTTTAAAAGTAAGTTTGTCATCAATCCAGATGCAGAAGTATTTATAACGAGGAACTTTCTCATCAGTGTATCATTTAAAGTGCAGCTCTAAAGGTTTATTATCCTCAGCAATGTGATGCAGTATGTGCCCACTAGATGGCAGCGTTCATCCTAAAAGGGTCCAATTTGTTTTCTACTGTGCAACTATCTTAATGCAAAAACACAACTCCAGCCTTTAGAGTATACTGGGGGGGTTTGTGCTGTGTGTCCCCCCCCTTTACAGGAAGAGAGCAAACAGTATGTTAGCTGCTATACATTTTACATGTTGTGTAAACACAAGGCTATCATTTCCAACCAAACTATATTTAACCAGTCAGCTTACATAGCTTTGGTGCTGATGTACCATGTTTAGTTGGATTGATAGCCACAACGCCAGAGGTCACACACACACACACACACACACACACACTCCTCCTGCACAGTCTGAGAAACACATAAACTGTGATCGAGCTGCTTTTTAACATGTATGTTTGTATATATGTGATATATGAACTGTGCAGGTAAAGTGTTGTTTTTAAACTGAGCTGATACAGGATCAAATTGTTTGTTAATATGAAAACTTCTCGCAGCGGACATCATTTTCTTATCTGATCTGAAGTCAGTTTGGGCGGTGCTCCGCTTTGTACTTAAGGTGCCTTCAGTTGTTCCTCGGAATAATGTAAACTAATTAACAGCACCCAAACCTGTGAGGGAATAAAATGATTATCTAATTTTATAATTATTATATTAAACATTTTAGTGTTAAGAAGCTACAACTTATTAAAATTCAGAGTAATAAAACACGATACAGAGAGCACATAGCCTATATTTAAAATGGTAAAAAGTAAATAATTAAACATTTAAACTTTTTAAAGTGTCAGTGGGTTCTTAAAGAGAATTTGAAGGGGATTAATGGATTATAAAATCAATTAATTTTTTACTTTAATAGCCACTAATTGTTTTATGACCAGATTATATAGGCCTAGTTGGAGTTTTTTAGGTTTTTGATTGTTTACTGCATCTGCAACAGTCGAATATGTCAAATTACACTCTTTTTTGTTTAGTTTTGGGGGGTTTATGCCCATGGTATCTATTTATTTATGTTTTTTATGTATATCTTTATGTATTTGAATAAGTATAATGTACAAAAAAAAACAGCCTTTATTTTAGTGAATCTCCCCCCCAAAAAAATGCAACAGAAACAACAATTTTACGATTAACATTTAATTGATTCAGAGCCACAAGTGAAGCAGCAACTCACTCAGATACAACTTTCTTTCTTGCTGTTATTTTGGACAATCAGATCCCAAAAAAGATGAAACACACTGTGTACTGCACTCTGTCCAACAGAAAGTTAGTTTAGGGATAGTATTTACATTTATAATTTACACAGTTTTATGCTTTCATGAACCTATCCTTAGTAATAAGCCTAAAGCTAAACAGCGACTAAAAGTAATGCCTTTTTATGCAGACCACAGATGCTTTAATGATCTGTAAATCGCCGTTTTCCTTCATTTTTCTTAGTGCCTCCTACATTCCGAGCCGCCCCTGAACGCAGCGCTGTAGAGCAGAGGACGCCAGGGCACGACTGAGACAAATAATCCAATCATTAGTCCACTAACAGCGCTGATGTCTTGGTTTCAGTCTCTGAGGGATGACTTCACTCTGAGGCCGTTTGAGATACAGCACACACAGTAAGTGTTGATCAGCTGGACAGCTCACACAACAACTTCAGCTGGAGTTGGTAGTTCACTGGACTGCGGGGAATTGTGATGTTTGATCGATCTGCGGTGGATTCGGTGTCCCGCAGTGCTTTGCTTTTTGTTTGTGCATCGGCTCAAGTTGTGTTGTGAGTGTTTGAGATCAGGGTTTCACTGGCAGCACTGGGGCTGATGTAGGTGGGCTGTGATTACTCTGAGGAGCTCTTGGAAGTGTAATTGTGAGTTTTTAAAGGTTTTATTTAGACCCTGGCTGTGATGTTCCCACTGAGAACTGCATTTTGTGCTATGATATATGATGATATTTATTGACTTTCCATAAATGTTCTGTGTTTAATCAGTGTAAAACGTTGGCTGAACTGAAAGTTGTGTTGTGGCTAATTAGAACAAACCTTTGCCAGCAAAATAATGAAGTCTACTCACATACAAACAAGAGTTTTTCACTACATTATCCAATCCCCACATAACTGATTTAGGTCAGATTAGAGGTGACTACTTTTTCTCATTTATTCTGTATGAATTTGGGTCATTAAGATGTGTTTTTGGTTGTAATTTGTGCCACAAGTAGGTTTGTGTTGAACTGTTTTAAATTGGCTGATCTGTCAATGGGACCCTGGTTATAATCCACAGCTGTTCTTAATGTGTTATGTTCCCCTGTAGTAGTTCACTGCTTGCACACATTTCCTCACAACTTACTGTAAAAAGCTCGACTGTTTAACAGCTCTAATGCAGATTTACCCTATTTCTTTTCATTTTAGAATACATTTAAAGTCATATTCTGCTGTTTTCACCGTACTGTAACACTGTGACGTCATACACACACACACACACACACACACACTCTCTCTCCCTCGGTATTGACCGTGTGTGTATGAGCTCAGTGTTTGGTGGAGGCAGGTCAAGGATGGTCCAGATTAAACAGTTATCTTTCACTGTGTGGGAACCTCTGTAATCCTGAACACAGACCGATTCAGAATAGAATCGTGTTGTCTGTCAGCGTGAGAGGATGAATGGCTCTATTGATCTGGGCCCTTGATGATCTGATCCTCATGTGGCTGCACTGTAGAGAAATGTCTGACTGTGATGCGCCTTTAAACGACAATGAAGCAGACCCCCCCCCCCCTTTTTTTAAAGCCTCCACGGCCCTGATGAATGATGTTAGACTAGACTTTTGCAGTAAATCGAGTTAGCATTATCACACTGGACGAGGATACGTGAGCTTAAGGGCATCAGCGCAGGTAATCTGACTGAGGAGCTTGATAAATATGCTTGTGTGTGTGTGTGTGTGTGGCCTGTCAACTGTCAGCCTTCCTGATTAGAGGGCTGATCAGGTCATCTGTCACCGGGTCATTGAACAAACCCTTTTACAGAGACGTCCTGTTTACTGTTCTCCTCTCTGTGAGGAAATCCTATCATGATAATTCACTGATACATAATTAGATCATTAGACATGCGGCGGCCGCTGCGTCCTGCTCGCTGTGTATTTGTTTGTGGTTTATTTTGTGCATTGTGTTGCCGACTGAGTGACAGCCGACTTTGAGACTACGAGTCTTGGACTATTTCCTGCTTTTATTAAAGGGACGCTGCACCAGTTTTACACATGAAAGTCAGAGTAGTTGTCATAGTACTACTCAACCTGGGAGCGAAGTTGTATAATGTCTTGTGTGGCTCTGTAGGATGTTTACCAGGCAGCATCAAAGAAAATGATGTTGTTGGTTGCATTTTGGGAAATGTAGGAGCCTCTGCTGCACAGATTTGTGACATTTTATTAAATAGTATTGGAAGTTTCTCCTATACTGCCTTAAATGTACACACACGTATCAAATCAGTACTCAGTATTAGCCGATAAGCAAAATTCAGGTATTGGGAAGGAAAAACTGCTATAACATCTCTAAAAAATCTGTCCCTTGTGAGTCTCGCAACTATGGAAGTGCAACCCGAAATCATTGTAGCGCCCCTTTAATAACAGGCTGACGTTAATTAGGACAGCTTGTAGATGTAGTTAGTCACAGCCCAGAAATCTAAGTAAAGAGAGAAAGTAAATGTCTCCCTCTAAAGGTGCGGTCACATTAGTCCTCTGTTTAACCACATTTATCACATGTCCGATATAGAGAACAAATGGGTATTGATCCGAGCGCTCACTGGAAACATGGTGGTGGTAATGCTGTAGTAAACATGATGGTGAAACATGCTGGAATAATAACTTCTTAGTGCATCAGTGTTTCTATGGCCGCTCTGTCGAAGTTGACCTCTGACCTGCGAGCCTGCCGCTCGACTTTGTCTGTCACGTTACCTCCCATTACAGTGAAAGGGAGACTGTAAAAACTTAAGTGTAATGTGACTGTACCTTTAGTGTGTGTTGAGGATAAAGATGATGAAGGCGTTTTTGACAGTGAGTGCAGATTCTTGTAGATA